GATTGACTGATGTGACTAATACGTGATTGATTGACTGATGTGACTAATACGTTATTGATTGACTGATGTGACTAATAGGTCATTTGCGCGATTGATTGATTGACTGATGTGACTAATACGAGACTGATTGACTGATGTGACTAATACGTGATTGATTGACTGATGTGACTAATACGTGATTGATTGACTGATGTGACTAATACGTTATTGATTGACTGATGTGACTAATAGGTCATTTGCGCGATTGATTGATTGACTGAGTCATTGGATTGGCAAACTAAATGAGAGATTGATTGATTGATTGTTGATTGATGTATGAAATATCATACTGATTGATTTGCCAAAATGATGTATTGACTGGCTGATGGTAAGTCACTGATTCACCGACTCACTGACTGATGGATAGATTGATTGAACTGACTGAATGACGTATGAGCCGACCGATTGACTATCTGACTTTCTAATCGACAGACCCCACGCTCAGTGAGTAACGTTCTATTCGACTCAAGTCGAAACGTAATATAAATACAAATACAAATATATTTCCATTTAAGAACAATGTATGCATGCATATCGTAAATATTCAGTTAAAAGCATCAATCTTAGCTGTAAATCATGTCGAGCCCACAATTCTACGAACGGCCTGAACACGCTCCAGCAGAATGGAAGCGAGGGATACATATAATGCGCTGGCCAAGTGGCAGAACAATGAAGCTGATATGTTTTACGAGCTAGGGAGTCTATTAAGCTTCGGATGACGAATGGATTGAAGCTGGCGAAATCGGCAATGAATATGCTCGATATGTCCATAGTAAACTCTCTGGTTTTTGGCTGTTTTATGGCTAGAGAAACGCCATCGAAATGGATTGTGATGTTAGTTTCTAGTTTCTGGTTGTTTTAAATTTTAATTATAATTTGAATACTAATTATATTAAAAATGATGATAGAAGTGGAAGAAGAAGAGCCAGTCGCAGCAGTAGCCGCAGCAGAATGAACTTCAGTATGTATTCAAACTTATAAATAAAGCCAGGCGCTCACTGCCGGTTCCCAGAGCCCAACTAACAATAATTTAAATAGCTAATGCCATAATCAAGCACGAATCACATTTCAAGAATTATTTATTAAATACTATATGAATTTATTTGAGTTTTCCGCGCAGCTGGCAGAATGCCGCCAGAAAAAAATAAGCAAAAACAAATAAAAATAAAGCGAGTTTCTGTGTTTCTAAAAATAGCTGATTTAAAGTTTCGGCATTTAAAATACAAATCACCAGATTCAATCACCAATCAAAGTGAACAGCAAAGTCTTAAATAAGCTGGTTTTCGGCTGCTAAATGTCCTCAAATAACAACTGTTAACAGTTAATGTCATACGATTGCGCTGTTAATTAACATGTAGCCGGCTTAACAGGCAACTGTAAGCACTTCACACTCTACATATACATACATTACATACATACGCCTAACAGCGCTCAACCTTGTGTAAGGCTAGCTTACGGCTCACGGCTGACACAAATCATCGTCAATGGAAGGCACTTGCTCTACTTCCAAAAGTTTTTACACTGCCAGACAGCGCGACTCCAAGCGCACGCATACATGCGCACAACAGAAATAAACACACATACACTCAAACCAACGGCAGCTGGCGCGTGCGTCGTTGACAACACTGACAACTGGCGCTTCTCTCCCCTCTTCCAATGAGGCGTTGCTTACAGTTAGGTAGACATGCGCATGTATTAATTAGCTTGCGCGCTCTCGGCGTGCGCGTGTGCATTTACATACATACGACTCTGTGTGTGAGCGTTTGTGTTTCGCATGCGCAGCTTCGAGTCAATTGTTTTTTTGTTTTTGTTTTTTTTTTTTACACATAAATTAAGCTGCTCTTCGCTCTCATTTACATACACATGCATGTGTGCGCGTGTGATGGTGGGATGCTTACACATAGCCTTATCATTGTTGTCATCTACTTTTGTTCGTATTTACACATGTCGCAATTGATAGTCGATCTCAGCTCTTCCCAATTTTGCTCTTCATTCTTTGCGCACGCTATTGTTCTGGTTGCGTGTCGCTGCTGGCGTCGCAGTCGCAGCCGCTGCCCTGCCATAATTTGCAGCCACACGATAAACCGCAATCGGCAATTAGGTTCATTAGGGTGCGGCAGGTGCGTCACAGTGAGTGTCAAAACTAAATGGCTGCATCAAGCGTAAATAGAGTGTTTGGGTGTGGCCATAAATACCCTGTAGTAATGAGCTGTATGCATAATTGATGAAGTTATACGATAGTTGAAAATGCTCGATTGCAAGATACCCTAACAATGCTAAAATTCATCGTTGCTTTGCCAAAACTGAAGCGATTTTCTACCTGAGTTGTTTTAGCTTTATTTAAATTGAAATTTAATGAAACTATATGTATATACTCTATAGACATTGCACATATTTTGGTTTCACAATTTACAATATAGTTCATTGAGTCTCATACACTTTGGTAGCTCAACTTTTGGCACACACTGTCCGTTGTCTCATATCGTGGATTATGGCTAAAACAAGTTTTGGTCATTAGAAGCGAGATAGAAATAAAGATAGATAGCCATTATAGATAGATTTTTGAATGTAGAGATACAGCTTCTTCTTCTACTTGTATGAGTAATACATAATTTGCGTGTGCGTGTGCGTGTGCGTGTGCGTTTACTATCGTCAGGCACTTTTTAATGGACACACTAACAATTCGCCGCGCTACGGTTCAATTCGATTCGATATTTCCGCCTGCTGCTTAGGCGCAGCAATTAAAAAATTGACAGCTGCTCTGCCAATTAATCTAGCATAAAAATCCTAATGGAAACACACAAATAGCAACAACAACAGCAAATAAATATAAATGTCTAAAACAAACGCAAATCCAGATAAATTGTTATAAATGTCTTTTCGAATTAAGTTCATAAATTAAGCCAAAAAAAACAAAAAGCAAAAAAAAAAAAAAAACACCATAAAAAAACAAAAAAAGAATGTCAGCTATAAATTCTCATATCGAACTGTTGAAAGTTGCGCCAAGAGGTTTTTGGCATCAGGAAATTGCCCACATCAACGGCTCGTGTCGGTATTGAAATGAAAACGAACTCGAATCGAAATCGAAATGGAACATTAAACAGTTTGTGGTTGTAAGCCCCTTCTCCCCCAGTCTGGTGTTTGTGTATAGTTTAGCTTCGAATTTGCACAATTCCCCTTAAGTGTAAATATCCTATTATTGTCAATTTTCTCTTTGACAAATTTCCTTAAAAATTTTAGATGCTTAAATTTCCCAATTTATCTCTTAGCCAAATTGTCTAAATTTCCCTTATTTATTCTTCAATTTCCCATGCCTCTTCTACCTTAAGCAAATTATAAAAAATTCCCTTCCATATTTTATTTAGCCATAATGGGATTTTAGTTTAGTTCTATTTTCTACTCTTTGATTAAGTAAATTGTCTACTATTACAAATGGCCTTTTCTATAGTCGAATTGCCCTTGTGTTTTTCTATACATATATTCCTTGCACATTACTTTAAGTCTCTTTTACTCAAGTTTACCTAACAATTGGCATTTTATTGATTTCTTATTAAATTTTTAATAATCTCTAAAGATTTTGGTTTCCCGATTCTTAAATTCAAATTTTGAATTGACTTTAAGTTAATGTTGGTGAATTCCCTAAGGCTAGAATATATGACAGAGAGAGAGAGAGAGACTAAATATGAAAAAACCCAATTCCTCTACGCACACATTATCATTAGCAAGGGAATTTCCCTTCTTCTCTTCAACACACAGAACCATTTTAGCTGTGCAGCTTAAAAGCGCAATTACCCGCTTCAAATTGCCCACGGTTGCATGACACTTTTAACAGAGCAAAATTTCCCTGCTTAACACATTTCCCTACATAACGCACTCAAGAACAAAATAATCAAAGTTCTTAAACACATATTACTTTGGTTTCTCTTTGCATTAGGTAATTCCAGTTGTCCATTTATAAGAGCATTCAAATTTCGTTGAGCTCATTAATCGTCCGCTTCTCTTTTTTTTTTCACCACTAAAGATTAATTAAATGAACGTTATTTATGTTTTTCAAATGGCCGCTTAGCACGATTTTATGTGCATTTGCTTACCTAATTGAATTGATTGAGCTAAAGGGGAAAGGTTATTGCGCAGTCATTCTGCGATATTGTTGCCTGCTGTCAGTTTCTTCTTCTTCTACCTACTCTCAGAGCGGAAGTCTTTTGATGCGCTCTCGCACTAGCCGCAGTCGCTGCAGTTCAATTTCAGCATCTCGCAGGCCTTAAGAGCGCCTGGAAGTCAGCTGCGCAGCGTTTTTGCTCAGCTACGCATTCTTAGGCGCGCCTGGAAGTCTGCTGCGCAGTGTTTCTGCTCGCGCCAAAGAGCTCGCTTCACAAATAAAAATTCTCTCTTTATTACTTTTCTTTGCTCGTTTTCTCATGTTTTTTTATTTTTTTGCTTTTTATTTAGGATTTATACAATAACTTAACATTTGTTTGAGTTTTGGAATCGGAAATATACAATATTAAATATTGATTTCATGTTTTTGCTTTCTTTATTTTTGTAGTGTTATTTCTGATTTTTTTTTTTTTGCTTAGTTTTGTTTTTGATTTTGGTTGTTGATTTTGTTTATTGGAAATTTGAATTAGCACATATTTTGGGGCTTGCTATAACATATATGTTTTTTCTTATTTAATTTTTTTTTACTTTTATTATGTTTCTTTTTAATAATATTATTACATTTACCAAATGCAGCACATTAATGCTTACGCTGTGTGTGAATGGTGTTGGTGTGTGTGTTAGTGTGGGTGGCGGTCCTCTTCGGTGTTTCTGTCTTACTATTTGGTTTAGCTTTCTATTTGGCTAGCGAAAAAAGTCCCGCTACATAAGCACAAATATCACTAGGCTGCAGTGCGTATATATGTGTGTGTAACTTGTATCTGTATATGCGTGTGTTATTGGGTGGGTGGGTTGTGTGTGATATAGATACACACATATGCATCTATTTCTGTTTATCTTGCTTGCCTACAGTACAAAGAAGTGTTTCTCTCACGCACACACACCCAGCATAATTGTGTGGGTGTGTGTGTGTGTGGGGCACCTAAAGCCTGGCCTTCATTAGAATATACTTAAAGAGAGTTCGAGTGAACCCAGTAAAACGATAGTTATAAGTGCGCCACATTACAATGCATGCTGTTTTCTGTGCGTAATTCATGCGTGTAAAAGTTCAACTGGGCTAACTGCAGAAAATGTGCCGTTTGAGTTTTGCAAGCTCTGCTTTAACGCTCTCTCGCTCTGCTTATTGCAGAGTGTGTCAGTGTGTGTGTACTATTGAGTGTATTGTTTATATGTATGTATTTTATGTAAGTATGTATGTATGCGTGTATATTTGTTTTCTTTTTTATTTAGTTTTTGTTGTATATTTTGTTTAAGGTTTTAACATTTAATTTAATTTCATTATTTTCATCGTCATATAAATAAAAAATAAATACATTTTGTTTTTGTTTTTTTTTTTTCTTCTTTTCTGTTCCTTTCCGTTATGCATGCAAGCAAAAACTTTTTCTGTTCTTATTTTCTCTTTTTGTTATCGACTTTTTAAATACTCTTTAAAAAGCTCCTCTAATTTTACATATACGAAAAAATATATAATATATATATATATATATATATTATGTATGTATGTATATAAAGTCGAGTTACATTACAAAAAAAAAAAATAAAAAATAAAGGAAAATATATATATTTATATATATATAGAATCAGCATCATTTGCTCTGTTGAATTGCTGTAGCATCGGCTTTACATAAACATATACACATATACATATATATCCAGACTAACAAATATATAAATATATATATATATACATATATATATTTATATGACATATACATACATATGTATTATAGGTATATATCATAGTTGTTTCATTTTATTACTTTTTTAAATTAAATTTAAGCTGCAACTGCACGTGGCTTAGACTGCGACAGCTATAGCGGGCATTGAGTGTGTATGAGTGAGACAACAACAGTTGCTAACAGTTGTCGCTCGCGCTGCTGTAACTGCTAACATTGCCATTTACATTACATTCTGTTCTTGGTTCTGTTAAGTTCTGTTCATTTCTGTTCTTTCTGGTAAGAGAGCTTTCGTCTCGTTTCGTTTTGTTTAAGGTATTTAATATGTTTTTTTTTTTTGTGTGGGTGTGTGTTTCGTTTACTGTTCTCCTATTTATTAGTTTCATACGTTTGATTTGCTTTGACTTGTGTGTGTGTGTGTGTGTGTTTGTTTGATGTAGAAGCAAAGCAAATTTCTCCATGCAGCAGCATTCAAAATATCAACAGCTTCGTTTTACTTTTCCCCCCTTCAAAAAATTAGCATTTAACATTAACATTAAATATGATACGCCCCATACAGTATCCCTAGTATCCCCCGTATGCCCATACATATGTCCAAGCTGGGCTCCAACTCTCTCTTTCTCTCTATCTACGGCGTTTCGTCTCTGTGTCTGCGTGTGTGTGTTTTTCTGTTTCTTGTTTTGCTTCTCTTTCTGCTTTCGCTCGCTGTTTGCTGTTCCTCGTTCCTCGTTTCTCGTTGATTATTGCACCACACAGCATCCCTTTTTCTTGTTCTTCTTCTCGTCGATGACCACGTGACTAGCCGAAGTGGGTCCGGGCACCACCTGCTTTGAGACTTGAGCCAGCGAAGTGACGCCATTATTGCTATCTCCCTTGCCGGCTACCGCTCCGCTGGCCACCCCATTGCCGCCTGCTCCACCCACTCCAGTCGAGCCGCCCACCTTGCTGCCATGGGAATTTGTACCGTTTTGTGCTGTCGCTTGATTCTGCGAGAGCTGCAAGGCAATTGGAAAAAAGAGACATGATTAGTAAATATTTTTAGGAAATTTTTTATTTTTTGATTGGGAGCGGAGTAGCGAGAACTTTTTAATCTTCAGAGAAAGAGAGAGAGAGGAAGAGGGAGACAAGTCTGCGATGTGTACTTAAAATTGGAGTAAGGCAAACTCTAGTCAGTGTAGTTTTTGTAGGCTCCTTAACGAATGACATATTGTTCCCACAAGTAATCCATGGAGAGTAAAGTTACAGCTTTTGCTATATGGTATAAAATCTAACCAAGATTGTAATTTAGACACTCGATACTCTATTTGCATACGCTGAACTCCGACACTCCAACACAAAAGATTTCTTTTATGGAGTATGTCTTTATCGGACTATATCTTGATTTACCTAAATGCATTTGCAAGATCTTTATCTGCCTTACAGTTACACCGTATTTAAGTATATTGCATATACCGAGACTGATTTCATATTTAGTGTCAATACTCGTAACCCTCTATATAGGTTAGATTTCGAAATGGAATAAATTTGGGCAGCTCAAGAATTATTGGGCAATGCTTTGTAAATGCACTTCAAGTTTTCAAAACGAATCGAACTACGAATCTACTGATTTCTTTTAGACATTTTAAATATGTAGGGTATTTAAGCTTCACAAGATCTATATCGCATTTTCCCTCTCTACTTCGCTATCTCCCTGTGTAGCACCCACTTTATAACACTACCCCTCTCTTTCTCTACATCTGCATCTCTCTCTCTCTCTCTCTCTCTCTCTCTCTCTCTCTCTCTCTGTCTGTATCTCTCTCGCTCTCTGTCTGTATCTCTCTCTCTCTCTCTGTCTGTATCTCTCTCTCTCTCTCTGTCTGTATCTCTCTCTCTCTCTCTCTCTGTCTGTATCTCTCTCTCTCAACTCTCTTCGTCCCTATGCATCATCAGCTCTCGCATCCTTCTGCTTCTCTGTAGCTCCTGATCTTTTTAGATTTTCTCTCTCTATGCATTCTCAGTATATATATTTCTCTCACTCAGTAGTTTCTCCAGGCAAACTTTATATAGCTCCTCCTCTCATTAACTCTTTCTATCTCATTTCCTCTCTCTCTCTCTCTCTATCTCTCTTCCTTTCGCTCTCGCTCTCTCTCTCTCTCTCTCTCTCTCTCCCTCTCATCAAATTCCGTTCCTTTCGCTTACATTTGTTTTGGTAACTGTCTCGCCTGTTGCCGTAGCGCCATTACAGTTATCGTCGCCATGCTGTGCGTTGCCGTTGCCTATTGTACGATCCTCTGTGGGCGTGATGGGCTTGCCGCCTGTGTGAAGAAAAGTGGGCATGTTAGCTAAAGTGAGAATTGCAGAGAAAGGCGAATTTGCCGCCGGGCTTACCACGTATCATGCTAACAATTTCATCAGCCTCTCTGGATAAATCGCCGCCCGGACGAAACGGATTATCCCAACCGGAATCAGTGCTAAAAACAAAAACAGTGTTGATTAACATAGTGTTGCAAAAGCTGAGATTTTCTTTGTAAAGCACCTCTGCTGTCTATCATAGGCTGGTCCCAGGCCAACGGTTGGCTGCATCGTTGCCGCCGCAATTTGCGTAAAATCTATGTTACAATTGTAGCTACTAAACGTATTATCTAAATTATCTGAAAAACTCGTTAATGTATACTCGGCTGGCGGACAAATCTGTTGCGGTTGACTGCTTTGGTAAATTGAAACGCGCACTATCGAACGCTCCGATCTGCAATTGGCGAGAAGAAACGAGAGAAAGAATTCAATTATTATTAAGTATTATTATTATTATTATTATCATTATTATCAGTACTATTAATATATATTATAATTGTCAGTGGCATTCCCTTGCAATGTGATTATTATAAATATTTTGGGCATTGTCATTATTATAGTCATTGTCAGACTCATTAATAGCGTCATTATCCATGTCATGAGCATTGTTTTGCCTTGTCATTGTCATTATCATTGTCATCAGTATTATTATGCCTAGACTCGTAAGTCTTACTTCTTTCGGTTTTTGTCATTGTCATCATCATTATTAGTTTCCCTATCAATTTCATTGTCATTGACATTATCATTAATAATGATTATTAGCATTACAAGTATTGATATAGTCAATGGAACTATCCTTCTCATTGTCATAGCTATTACTATTATCATTATCATTGTCATTGTTATTATAATTATCCTTCATTATTATCATTGATATTATCATTATCAATATAATTATCCTCCCCATTATCATTGTCATTGTAATATTAATTATCCTTCCTATTATCAGTATCACTATCATTATCATTATCATTATCCCCATTGTCATTGTCATTGTAATATTAATTATGTTTCCTATTATCATT